CAACCACTGTCCCCATTGCTTGGGGCAATAACTGATGAAGTGGGGAGGGAAGATAAGGAGCCTCCGGAAAAGGAGAAATGCACTTCTCCTGGTTTCCCCTGTGCTGAACCCCGTGAAGAGGGTGGGCCTGGTTTCCCCCACTTCTCCTCCCTGGCAGAAGAAAAGCAATGGTCTCATAGGACCCACAGGTCAAAGAGAGGTCCGAGGCAGGGAATAAAACCTCCTAGACTTGGGGACCTGACTCGGAGCTCTCTGTTACCCTGTGGGAAAGCCCCTGAGCAGTAGCAGCCTTTGGGGAGGGCAAACTGCACGACTGCCCGGGGCCCTACACTTTATAAAAATAAAAACGAGTTACACTGGACGTTGGCATTATCTATATTGTACGAAGATACTTTCATTGCAGTTTCACGGATTGGGCAAAGTGAAATGGGAATCGAAAATGTCCAACTTGCTTATAGGTCATCAGGATTAAGCCACTAAGGGGCCCCAAATGACTGTCTTGCCCAGGCCCCAACAACCCTACGGCCACCACTGCCCTGAGCATCATTGAATCATAGAAAATTGGGTGGAAGGGACCTCAGGAGGTCACATCTAGTCCAGCTCCCTGCTCAAAATAGGACAGGCCCCATCCATTCATGCTGCTTCCATCCTTCAAGGGAGGGAGGGCAAAGGAGCCACTTGCTTAAAGATTTTGTAAAAATACCTTGCTAGCAAATAAAGGCTAATACTGCACAAATAATGCACACACAAACACACAGCTAGATGTGTATCTGTGCAGTCCAACCTTTACCATTCTAACAGAAATGGAGAGACTTTAAAACCCAAATGTAAAATTGTAAAAATACCTAATGAATGGCCCGGCCCGCTGGTGGGGAAATCTTCCCCAAACTCAGACCCTGAGTTCTGCAAAGCCCTCGATGGTCACACAGCTGCAGATGGGTCCACGCTTCTGCAGCCAGAAGAAAAATACCATCTCATTGCAGTGCCCCTCTTTTTATCCCTCTCACAATCTAAAGCTTGCAAAATGGCCAGAGGCAGCACAGTGATAGGAAACGGCCAGTCACACCGCACTCAGGCTGGAAGCAGCCGGCCTTAAGCTACTAACGTGTCTCTGAACTGACCTAGCCTTCCCTGGACCGCTCGCTTCTCTCTCCTGTAATGCAATTCCTCCTCTTGCTACTGCCCTCAACCTGACTTACACGACCTTGGCCTAGCTTAAACTTCTCAGCTTTTAGAAAGCAACCTGAGGCCTTGGGAACTTGCTACACAATGCAGAAGCTAAAAAAAAACCACCCCAAAAACCAGGAATCAGATTTGTAAAAGGTCTACAAAGCCACCTTTCTGTAAAATGACATAAAGGCAAGAGCCTGTATCTGCTTCAGGTCATCGTGAAAGCTCACTTGGCACTTTTCACGAGGCTTTCAGGGCTGGCCAGAGCAGACAGCGCCCCTGCCATCTTTGAAGAGTCCCTTCCAAAGCTCAGGTCTTCAGGAAAGACAAATGTTGGCTGCATTGAGCTTCAAGCTGTTAATTGACTTCAGTCTCCTAAATACATACACAGCAGTAGCTTGCTAAATGACATGATGCATCGCATGTGTGTCTTTCCAGGACTATCAATCTCTCCCGTAGTATCTTCATTTCTGCCTCCCAGGAGTGAAGGACTGTTCCCTGCGTGTACAGGGAACAGCTTTTTTGCAACAGCTTTTTTGCATGTTGTTAGACATACTTCTCCCACAAAGATCAGAGACATCCAGCCGCTGAGAAACAGCTTCATGAGACAGTAATGAGATCTTCTAGTTTTCCGAGATGTATATAGTTCCAGACACAAGTATGTCAAACTTGTACAAACTTGGCTGGCTTGAAAATACAGAACACAGTGGGTGTGTCTACACATGCATTTAAGCGTGCCTAAATTTAATGTGTATTAGTGTAACGCACCTTAAGTGGGTTTAGGGAAATTAATGAGGATTAAACACCATGGCGTGTACAAGTGCCCTTCATGCACAGGCATTAAAGAGCATTAATGCACTTTAATTAATTAAAGTTAGTCCCAAGTCCGTCCGCACACACAGCATTAATGCATTTTCATGCGAGCCTGAAAGGAACCTTACCCACATATAGTCTCTAGAGCAGTAGGGGGGCAACCTTTTTAGCAGGTGAGCCACAGATTAGCCCTGCATCCTCCCTGAGTGCCACTCCCATCCCCTTCCTCTGGACAATCTCCTCTGCTTCCTGCCCTGCAGTCCCTGCCCGATTTCCTGCTCTGCTTTCCGCTCCCTGCCCTATCTGCTGCTGTGCTGCCTGTCCACTCTCTGATCTGCCACAACCAGAGACCACTTTCCAGGTTGGCCACCCCTCCTCGAGAAGGATGTTGCCTTTATATCAATAGCTTCTCCTTTGCAACATGAAGTATTTTGTTTCTGGGAATAAACACACTTCCTCATTGAAAATAGCTAAATGGGAAGCAAAACCGTCAACTTTGGCAGGCCGGCTATTTGTCTGAGATTTTTCTGGCGAAACTGCTCTCGGATGGGCTGAGTCATTTGAAAAAGAAGCTATTTGGGAATGGTGCATACCTGCCTGTCGCTGCCCTTAACTGACATCCGCTGAGCACCGTTAATGATGACATATCCCTCCAGCCCTGGCCTTGTGACCGTAGAGTCATAACAGACCGCTATCAGGATCCCTGACCCCGCTCAGGCTTGTCATTCATTTTCCATAAATCCCCTGGCCGAGATCCTGCATTTCCTTGCTTTCAGCGAGAGGCCCCCTCCCCGGCACTGGATTCTCTTCCATTGACCTTATCTCTTAATTATGGCGTTTCCATCTAGCACATTGGCATGACTCAAAAGCCAAATGGCTCCAAGATGCCACAGACATTTTTCAACACCTAATTTTACTCCAGCTGACTGAAATGAGCTGGGGGCAGGCAGCTGTCTCCCCTTCCCAGACCACGTGGCAGGTTGTTTTGCCTCTCCCCATTTCTACGGCTCCATTAGATAGCCTGATTTTTTGTTTTTTTAAACAGAGGTCGTGCATATCTCTAGCTCCTGTTGGCTTTAATGGGACTAATTGGTGTTCGCTAATGGTGGAAAATCAAGCCAGGAAAACAAATTGGAGTTGAAACTTCATCTGTGTAGCATCCAGGCATCAGTTTTGGGTCTCCAAATAGAAGGGGCAGTCTGTGTTTCTGACTCGGTAGGACAAGCCGACAGGCTGTTTGGGGGGCATTTCTTTGAGGAGTTCACTTTGTACCATAAACAACAGGAGCACGGTTCAAAACCCTGAGTTTCTTGTAGATGAGGCCACTACAAAAGAGGTCTCTTCTGCTCGGGGTGATAGGTAGCACCGTAATGTGCTTGAGTAACATTTCCCCTCTGTTTTACATTGCTGTGAGTTGATGTTTGCTGGTCTGACATCTCCACCCCAGAAGCCGCTGCATTGTTAGGGCGCTGGATTTATACCCTGTGTCATCTAGTGTAAAAGCCCCATGGACAAAAACTCTAGGGAAATGGAAACCTAGTAAACAGGCAATTAAAATGTTGAATTTCAAATTAGGTATGTAGCTTTAAACTGTGCTAATGAAGGATATACTCTCTCATTGGAGGAACAAACTAGATACTTGAATAGATGGAGACTCACCTTTGACTGGATAAAAAAAACAAAACCAAACCCCAAAACAGCCTTTTCCAAGGAAAGTAAAATATCTGCTGATGTGACTGGAAACAATTTAAAGGGACTTTGTTGGTTCAGATTTGGTGGCATTTGTAAAAAAAAAAAATCAGCAGAAATGTTTTGATTTTCAAATGTCGGGGGGGCGCGTCTTTCTATTTTTGGCCTTCAGTGCAACTGAAACATTAAATCGTTGGGCAAAGGCCGGGGAATCTGGAAGTGAAAGTGGCAAAAACTGAAACGAAATATTTTAATTGTTGAGCTTCTTAAAAGCTCACCGTCTCCGAGCTAGCCCAGCAAGTCCCGGCCATTTGTAAAGCTTTGCTCATAGTTCCCTGTTGCTAGGCTGCTTGCAGGAAACGATCAGCTCATCCTGGCTAAATAGATGTCCTCTGGGGATTCAATCAGATATGCTCTGCCTAAGCCTAGAAGGACCATCCAGCTGGTGCAATGAAATCAGGCCAGTTTTCATAGCCAGTGGCACACAAGGGAGTATGGGACTATCATCACCTCCAGTCTCTTGCCCTTCCTCAGTCGGAATGACCAATGTACAGCTGGGACAGCTGGGACACAGCTCTCACCAATGCATGCCTAGGGGGTGGGGATCCCCCACTGCAGCTGGTGCAGCTGGTTCCCAAATCAGGGCCAAGAGGTGAACCAGAGAGAGGGTGCCGCAGCACCTGTTGAGCAGAGAGAGGGAGTTAGGCCAGTTGGTCTGCAGGGTGGTATTGCACCTGGGACACAGAGAGATGCCCAGGGTGGTATCACACCTAGGACACACAGAGATGCCTGGGGTGGTGCCGCACCTGGGACACAGAGAGATGCCCGGGGTGGTCTCACACCTGGGACACACAGAGAGATGCCCAGGGTACAACGACACCTGGGACACAGAGAGATGCCTGGGGTGGTCTCACACCTGGGACACACAGAGAGATGCCCAGGGTACAACGACACCTGGGACACAGAGAGATGCCTGGGGTGGTCTCACACCTGGGACACACAGAGAGATGCCCAGGGTACAACGACACCTGGGACACAGAGAGATGCCTGGGGTGGTCTCACACCTGGGACACACAGAGAGATGCCCAGGGTATAATGACACCTGGCAGACAGAGAGATGCCCGGGGTGGTCTCACACCTGGGACACACAGAGAGATGCCCAGGGTACAACTACACCTGGCAGACAGAGAGATGCCTGGGGTGGTCTCACACCTGGCAGACGAACTAAAGGCGAGACGCCACAGCTGCCCCGCATTTGCTGGTGCAGCGCCCCCCGCGCCGGTGCGCAACTCCACCTGCCCGGGCCGGGC